TCTTAATTTAATGCTGTATATTGAGCAGCGGATGATGTTAAATCCGTTTCTGAGATGCATATCTGAAAATGCTTTGTTGGTCGGCGCCACCTAGCGCGCAGGCGTGAATTAGCAGAAGGCGAACAATCGTTTCGCGTTCAGTGTGAAAGCAACGTTCGTCGGCGATTCGCTTCGCTTTTTCGCATCGCGCTCAGTGTGGAAAGGCCCTTTAGACTTTTTTCTCAAAATTCTAAAATTACATCCGCCAGTTTGGACTTTTCCTTAGAATTCAGAGTTTATATCTCACAATTCTGACTTTATTTCTTAGAATTCTGAGGTTAAATTCTCACAAACCATGGAATAAAAAGTTTTTAAAAAAAAGAAAAAAAAAGAAGTAATTTTTCCTTGCAATTGCAAGTTTGTATCTCACACTTCCGACTTATCACCTAGGAATTTTTATTTTCTTACTTTTTCCCTTCTGAATTCCAAGAAAATAAAGTCCGAACTGTGAGAGAAAGCCTTTTTTTTAATTCCGTGGCTTAAAGTTAAACATCAAGACAGCTGACCTTTTGTAATATGCAATTTCTTCTTGTAGCATGAAGACCTTAGCTTTCAGCTCATTGCGCTCATGCAGGACGTCACGCAGCTCTTGCAGGGTAAATCGCGGGCGGTTCGGATCTTTTGGATCATTAGAGGACATGTCATCATCACACAGCACCTCCTGGTGGATCAGAGAACACTTACAGTCACTTACAGTACACTAGCTTTTACACAGAGCAACTAGCTGCTGAGGAGGTTTAAACTAGAGACACACAAACAGCTTCATTATCAGAGCATCCTCAAAACGACACAAATATCACCTGATTTCACTGCTGTTAATATAGAACAAAAATCACACCACAAAACACAATTCAGTTTTTTCCCATAAATTTACAGTTGTTTTGTTCAAAAGATTTGAACAAAATAGCTGCTGCTTCCTGTTTCAATGAGACATATGTCAACATTTACAATGTAAATGAATAACAGTATATGATTGGTGCTTTTTTTTTTT